AAAAATCCCCTTGTGGCCACGGAGGTTCAAATGCGGTGACTCCGGGCTATCTGCAAAGCAGGTGGTCACCCTGGGATTAGTCGGCTCGCATAGCGGGTTGGATATCCAGGTTAATCAAAAAAAAACACAAGAAATTATAAAATAATGAAACACATGTGAAGCCAAAAAAACCATAACTATATTGCATGCCAAAAGAAAAAGAATTGGTTGAGAACCATCTACAGACAAGCAATGCCTGTATTATTAGCAAAACCTTCCACATTAAATTCATTGAACTTATGAGCCATTAGCAACAGTTAGTAGCACCATACCGTGCATGATATTTTTGATGATTTTCCAAACTTCACAGCTTCATCTTGTATCTGTGTCGCCAATTCTCTTGTGGGTGACAAAACCAAAACAGTTGGACCCATTTGAGGATTCTTGCGGGTTCGTTTAAGATGAATAAATCCAGGAATCAAGTAACCCAAGGTCTTTCCAGAACCTGTCTTTGCAACTGCTACTATATCACGACTTTGGAGAGCTATTGGCCATGATTGTGCTTGTATGGGGGTTGGGGCAGAGAACCCAGCCTGGAGTACCTGGAAAATCAAAGAACCAGCAACCTCTGTAAGCAGAGGTAAGCATCTCCAAGATATCTGATTTGGTTTCTTTGGAGGATTATACAAGTGGCTGATGCAAGTCAAAGCATCATCCCAAGTATGCTGGCAGCCAAAGCTTGTTGATACAAGCTAGAGCAGGAGGCCTCTTCTTCAGTCAGACCAAGTGGCAAACTGAATCATCACCATCGGAAGTCCCCACCACGACCATGGATGATTCGGAAAGCACTTTCTCACAATTGGTCCACCGTCTAAGAGTACTCCAAAATGGATTGCCTTACAAAAGGGTGGCACAGCATATGAAAGTTAGCTCCTCCCAGGAGCAATATTGCACCCAGGAAAAAGTCGTTGGAAATCATAATGAGCCTGAAAGTTGCTGCAACTTCAGCAAAGACAGAACTTCACACAAGCACTGCCTATGTAACAAAAGTTGCACAAGATCATCCTGACCATCAGGAGCTGCATAAAAACAGAAGTTATACCTCTCTAAGTAACTCAGAAGGGAAACCAGTATCTTCAAATGATGTAAAAGGTGGGGGCACATTGTCTCCCTGAAGATGTATGACCAAGTATCAGCAACTTGAAAAAAGAAGATAGAAAACAGAAAGCCATACATTATATAACATTTACAAAGTATAAAAAATAAAAAATTGGTATGCTCACTCACTGCATCTATATATTCTTTGTTTTCTAATTAGAGAAAAATAGCTTCTCTATGGAAATAAAAGGAAATTTTGTTCAATTAAGTGATATCGCCATTATCAACTGTTGATGTGTCCCACAAATAATAATCTAAAACTTTTATAAAGCGACGACCATAATTAATATTTAGACCAGAAATCCATTCTACATGCTACCAAACAACACTCCTCTAGTCGAAAAAATTGATGCTCCAACAGCCAAGATATGCATGTACTTGTCTACACCCCTTCTATTCCAGGAGAAATGACAGCACTATTCTGTTAGAAAAACAAATACACACAGGCACACAGTATTTGTTTTGTTCAAAGCTATTCCCGAAAGAGTAAGCCAGAAATTCAAAATTAGTTATTAAAGTAATCCACGAGGTGGGTTCAGACAACTTTTTGCAAGCCGTGTGGTATGGATGACCATGGTAACCACAACGTTATTGTTGTTTTGTCAAAAATACTTGTGCATAGCTCACCATGCATCATATGGAGATGCTACAGAAACCAAGTTAATGATTTTAAATTTACGACATCCAATAGAGCTGAGTTTAAACTTAACAACAATTACTTGATGTAAAAACCTGTTAAGAAGATCAATAAAACAAAATTGGTTCCCTAAAGTACGTAGAACTTGATATAATATGGTGAACTCAAAATAGACACCAAGGATGGCAATCCTTAAAGGCTATAACATTCAAAGTCAGATCAAAACATGTTGCCAGTTTAAAGACCACCAACAAAATTGCATCATCAAATCTAGAAATTGCAAATTTTAAAACTAATTCAATTGCGTGGGCTATGCGAAGCTTACAGATACAGTTATCTCATGCTGCCGGCGATAAGCATCTGGGGACAAGCCACCTCCGACCGACGAAAAATGGGCTTGAGCAGGAGTTCCACCCTGTCCAGAAGCAACTGTCTCATTTGGAGTATCATATGCACAATCTGACCCACCTTTTGTAGTCTGACATAAGATTATAACAAGCCATAAGTTCATCTAGAACGATAATATGGCGTGCCAAGAGGACATAAAGCCTAAAAAAACTATGTAACGTCTAAGGTTTAGAGAAACTTCACATATTTCCATATAGTGAGAATGCCAAACAAGCTACAGGCTTAATTGAGTTTTACTTGAGACAAAAGAAAACCTAATAACAATAAATTATTGATTAAAACCTATTTTACTATCAGCTATGTACATAACCTGAAGGTCTTTTACAACAACCTGCAATTTTCAACCCATGTGCCAGAGACGACAGCACAAAGTACCACAAAAATACCATCAAATTAAGGGGTTGCAGGATAAGATACTCCTGGGGTTTGAAAATATGACAGGGTGACCAAAATAAAAAGACATCAAGAGGATTGAAATTTATCATCGATAAGAAATAATTGTGTTCCCAAAACAGATAAGAAAAAAAAGGAAATAAAAACAAGAGACAAAAGCATACCATCAGATGTTGGTCTAGGACTTGCTACGCCAAATGAGAAAGTACATACAAAACCGAAGAAAACATAATGCAGCAACAGTAAAATCAGATAGTAACAAGAAAAAAAAATGATTCAGGATTAGAGGCGTTTTTGCCACCAATGGCTATGTAAAGTACTTTAAATTCTCTGGTAGAACAGTCAGGGTGCCTTAGAGAAAACATAAATACAAGTTGTTAATACAACGAAAAACTAAAAATAAAGGGAAAGAGATAAATTCTAAACCAGGGCCTTTCCTTATTACCAGGAAAGAGACGAACATTACAATACATGAAACAAAACATGTGCCACCAGAAAAGAACATGAACAGAAAAGAAGAAAAGAAAAGAATAGAGGGAGAAATCATGCCAAATGTTCCACCAGACTTGAGTGAATGTTCCACATCAAGTTACCTTTAGTGCTTACACATCGACATACATATGTGTGTGCTCTGAATCTTCTTCTGGAGTCTGTAATATCATCCGTGGATAAAGTATAGTCGTTTAAAACGGTGACGATACTTCATTACAGATACCAACATAAAAACTTAATAGCTGCAATCATATTATTTTCATTTATAGATCTTAGAACCCTACCCATCAATCCCTCTAACAAGCATTAGCACATACAAATGGAAGACAAAAAATGATATAGAGAACAAAATCAACCAATGATGCTTTATTTGGAGTAAGAACCTAATCAAAAAACAATTTCGTGAAGCCTTGTATCTAGGACTTGCAATTGTTAAATAAATGTTCAAACTAGTAGATTAGTTTAACACAAAAACCACTAGTTATCGGTTTGAACAAACAAAAACAATTCATATACATGCCTAATAAACCTAAAGTATTCACACTACTATCAGCCATGCCGGCATAGAATTATAATGAAATATGTAGATGATTTTGTAGCAAATAAAAGGTAACAATGTAAGGCAGGTTGAACACAAACCTCATGATCTTTTGCTTCAGAAGAAAGCTTTGATGTACCATTGCCACTACTTTCATGTCTAACATCATCCTCAGCAACACCATCATCTTGGATATGTTGGGACGACAGTTGCACTGGATCTTCTGAAGCCACCGGAGACGGATTTTGTGGTGGAGATGAAACCTTAGACCCTGAGGGCCTCTCATATTGAGTAACGTTAGTCTCTGGATTCCAAAAGTAGAGATACCCAGTCTTACCATCAACTAGCCCTCTCCATGGTTTTGGAAGAGTTGGATCCTCTGGAGCATAGCGGGGGCCAGCAGAAGTTGTAGTTGCAGCAGCAGCCATATCAGAAAACAAATCTCAAGTATACTACACCACACAAACCATATACCCTTTAGGATGCCTAAATGATTAGAACAAATCAATAAACCACATACAAACTACCGATGCAGGAAGCATACCGTTTTCAACTTTCAAGACTTTACAGATTAACCACTGATGCCAATAAAAATAACAACATAACTCATGCATTTGCAACTAATGAGAACTAGATCCAGCAGCCTTTCTGAATAGATATATTTCCAATGGTTAAACAAAACCACAGACAACCTATCAACAAAAGGTGGATCATACTTTCGATATAAAACCCTAAAAATCAACAAAAGACAGTTAAAAGAGAAGCCTAACCCAACTTTTTAAAAAAGATAGGAACCTAGGCAGTACTATGTTTCTCATGAAACCACAAAAACCCCAATTTCAATAAGCTAAACCAATACTCAACCGCAGACACGGCTTACCCATTCATGGTAAAATGCAACAAAATATACCTTAACATTGTTCACACTTAATCATTAGAGATCAGAATTCTCAACATATGCAACCAAGATAATCTTCTACGCATGCAATAGACATTTGGAGGCGCTTTATTAATGCGTTCATGGGTTCAAAATGCAACAAAATGAACAGTGCTACGAATTCTTTAAAAATCATTTCTCATCGTAAATGAGACAAACCCTTGCTAACAACGACATTTCGCGTTACAAACAGCCATGTTTAGTTTTAGGGTTTTATCCGCATACAAAAAACATCACATTAGATGTGAAGCACCACCGAAAACCCTAATTTGAAAAAAAGACAACATAAATACGGAACAAAAGGTTACCTGGAGGCGAGTCGATTGAAATGCCGATGGATAACCAGGTGAGAACACAATAGAAAAGCGCAAGACAGGGAGAGAACCTCCTTTTATCTCTCTAAAACTTCTTCCTCTTGGTAGCTATGGAGGTATACATGAGGGAAAACCCGCTTCGTCGGAGAAGCGTAGAGAGGAAAAAAGAAAGGACGGAATGAGGAGAGGGTATTTATATCAGACGGCGACACGATAGTAGGAGGTAAAGATTTTTGACCCTGAGTTCTAATGGTAATATGTTATTAACTACCTTGTTTTATTTAAATTATTTATTGACTTATTCTAATTTATCAATACTGGTGATAAATAATTTTTAATGTTTGAATAAAGAATAATAATGTTAGTGTTAAATCGGTAATAAAAAGTTTTTTATAAGTTGCTCTCTTCTAAATTATCATAAACAACTTATCAGCTTTGAAATTCAAATTATCTTTTTAACCCTAAACCTAATAAAATCCACCAACGATAATTCGTGTTCCTTGATGAGTGCCCTAGAACATCCAAATCTTTAATCTTAAACCTAATAGTTCAGAAGTTGCTTGATTCAAATCAACTTATCAGGTATCTTCGAGGAGATCTATTGCACGGTTTCTTTCCTAGGGTTCTTCGTGGCCTCCGGCTTCAATTTGGTTTTCGATTTCGATTTCTACAGGTACGATCTCTATTCATTTATTTTGACTTCCATTGTTTTCGAGTTCCATGGTCTTCGATTTCTAAACTTCTTCGATTTCAGCTTCCCTGGTTTCCATGGTTCTCGATTTGTTGTATGCGCCTTTTCAATTCATGTTTGCATATGCTTTTTATGGTTCTCGATTTCTTGTTTCATGGTTCTTGATTGCATGTGGTGCTCTTTTCATGGTTCTCGATTGCATATGCTACTTACAAATCGAAGAAAATGAAACACAAATAGAATTGGAACAAGGATGTAGGTTGGGTTGGTGAAAAGAAGCATTGGTGGTCTTGGCACAGGTATTGGAGGTGGCGGTTGAGTTGCTGTTGGTGGAGATGACGATGGTTGGCGGCGGAGATGGTCTCAGTGACGTTGAACGGGAGGAGCTGACGGTGGGGTTTGAAGATCTCGTAGTTATATGAAATAATGTCTTTTTTGGTCATTTTACATAAATAAGCAAAATTTGTCAAACACCAAAATACAACTTTATCAGCTTATTACATTTTGGTATAGTCATAAGCTAATCCAAACATTTTTTTATAAAACTCCGGTTTAATACCACATAAGTTGATAAAAAGAAAAGCACAAGTTGTTTTAAATAAGCAAATCCTAAACACCCCCGTAAACAAAAACAAATGTACTTTCTCTATTTTCTTCTTTTAATCATAATCACAAGTGTATGTGTTTGGGTTAGCTTATATGTATCTTGAATGATTCTAGCGGGCAGTTTACCAAACATTTACCCGGTAAACATCTAACGGTAAAATTCAACACTATCATTTACTTACCGGGTAAGATTTTAGTCAACAAAAAATGGCTTTCTATGCAACAAGTTACACGGTAAGAGCTGATCGTGGTAAGAGTCATTGCCCTCACTTACCAGGTAAGACTTTAGGTCATTGTCTCGCTCTTACCGGGTAATATTATTGGTCCTTGCCATGTTTATCCGATATGGTAATGTAACTTCGTAAGCGTTTACCCAAGTAAGCATTTGGTAAACGGCCCCTACGAGTTCTAAGAACGATTAGAAAAAATATTTGTTGACCTTGCAGAACTCGAATATAGTGACCTCTGAGAATAATTCAAAGGTTGAGATTTTGCAGCCACATAGTATTTTTGTAATAGTCTTGCTTTTTAACAGACTACACTTAGATTTGTCATTTAATTTTGCACAACAAAGCAAAGATGAATAAATAGATTGAATGATTGGTATCGGTATCTATATAGAAACAGTTAAAAATAACCAATTATTGTAAAATCACATGAGGATTGTTCAAGATTCAAAAGATCGATTAAGCTCGTTTTAAACGAAAATGCCACTAGTTAACAAAAAAGCCCAAATAAAGTCATCACTCAAGGTTAGGATCAGTCGAAACAAGTCAAACTAGTTGTTGCATGTGAAATGGATGATTGAAAAGTCTAGGTCGATGACACGGAAAATGATCAAATGTGCTTTTAATAGATCTTTTTTGGCGGACTCCCAAACTTCTTCTGTTTTTATATTTTTGTAATCTAAATTTTTATCTTTATAAACATGATATTGTCGTAGGTTTAATATTATTGGATTTCAAACAATAACATCACATAGCGTGCTATCAACGTTGGTTTTTCTTCTATCACATACTCGTGTCTCGTGATTATGAAGTTACCGTCAACCACAACCATAAAACGTTAGTTCATTGGTTTGGAAAAACATCAACTTTGGTGTAATTGTCAGTAAACTAAAAACACGATGGAAAACACGATAATTTCCATGTGGAAAAACCTTGCACGGGTGTGAGACATGGTGTGGAAATTGATCAAATGCAAATTGGTCCTAACAACCGTAGTTGGGTTTACAACAAAGATGATTGCGAAGGTTGAGGCGATGAAGACGGTGACACAGGGACTGTCGTTCCGACATTTAGGCGTGGTTGCAAAACACCTTTTCCGATCGAAATACAAATTGGTAATATGTAATGTCGAAAAAATGTGATACACTACGTCTTTAGTCAATAATAAATGCAAATATCTTGTGACTTTCACATATGGCATCTAATGTGTCGTTAGTAATCGACCACATACGTATTTATGTGTGGCGTGTCATATTATTGCATTTGATGGCCAACTGCTTCACACACGTTGTTGTCGCATGATTAATTTAGTTATAAAAAGTGGTTTTTCATCATCGCTTATCGATCAAAAAATATTATAATTTGTAGCAATAAATAAAACTTAAAACATTTTGAAAAATACGGTTCAAATTGAATATAATCCACATCTTGGTGAGTAATTTTACAACAAAGAGCGTAGATTGATTTGAGATCGAAATAATGATCCAAAAACCTGTGATAATTCACTTAATTTCTTAATCATAATTGAACCCATCAGATATCTACCTCCAAGGAATGTTATGAACTATACGTAAACTTCGATCTGAAAATCTAAACATACCAATTAAATCCCAGCAATAGCTAATAAAGAATTTCCAGATTGTTGTAAAATAACTTGAATGAACTTCATACTTTATTTGGAAACAAAATCCAAGCAAAACTGAAATCAAATTTTGCATATATATACAATAACAATTAGGGGTATACGCGGATTGGGTTGGGCTGTCTACGACATTTTTACAATCCAATCCAATTATGATGGTTTGAGAAAATCTCAACTTAATTTAACCCATTCAAAAGTATAACCCAACCCAACCCAACCCTTACGGGATGGGTTGACGGGTTAGTAATTACATAAATATGATGAATGAAATATCTTATAAGAATTATGTTTATATGACTAAACTATAAAACGTTGTATCTAAAAGGGTTACAAAAAATTTATATGATGCTTTTTGTGTTTTAACAAGTTTTTAGAATGTTTTTTTAAAACAAAATGTCATATTAATCATTTTACATGAACAGTTTTGAAAAATATTATGTCTATTTATATACACTTGTGTTCATATGACATTTTTTTAAACAGTGTCGTATAAAATAACTAAACATAAGACTTTATTTTGATATGTTCTAAATTTTTTTAAGACATCCAAAAGTGTCATATACACGTATTGTACCACTTTTATTTATGACTCTTTTATGTTTCGTCCTATAAAACATCATATTAGGATGCTTAGAAATTTTAGACGTCCTATAAATCTAATGTCATTGTAGCGAAATGCTATAACTGTTAGCATTTTTTCCATCAAAGTACAACATCAAATGAGTGAGTCTTTTGATTGATATATTTGTCAACTAAATATTTATCAACATCATTCATGTTCTATGGCATATCAATTTGTTGTTGCTGCAAAAACGATTCCAATAATCTTCTCCTATTAGATTATTTGTCATCATTATTTGGTGATGAATTTCTTTTGGTAACTTATATATAGCTAAAAAGATACAAACGTTATATATAATAGACTCGTATGTTATATATAGATATAAATAAATATTTATCGAAGTTATATATATTGGCGACGGGTTGACGGGTTGAATTTGGTTGAGCTAGGCTAGCCCAATTTCAACCTTCTTAATTGATGGTTTAACATGTTGAGTTTAATTGTGTTGTTAATGAGTTGGGTTGAACATGTTAACAATTTGACATTTTTTTTGTATACCCCTAATAACAAAACAAAATTAGGTTACACAACTTTAACTTTTCACCACCATAACTCCATATGGATTGAGTATTGGTGTATAATGTGAACGCAATGCAAATACAGTTGAGTTCAATAAAGAGTTAACACATAAGTAACATTATTATATACGAAAATAAGCTGCTACACAATAAACTATCTGACAACAACTTAGTGACTCAAAAGCCAAAGAAGAAACGCTACTTCAGACCATGTCATATTTAGCCAAAAGTTCCAAAGATGCACCCTTTTAGGCTTGCCAATGTACCATCAACGGTTGGAGCAGTTTCAATGGAAACAACAACAACTACGTGAAAAGAAGAAAGGAACTAAATTTGAAGGTTAGAGTTGAAGAGGGTGTCAAAGGACAACTGATTGGGATTAAGATGTTTGGATCACAATAAAAGAATGTTTGGTAAATACAAGCCTTTGACAATTCAAAGCAAACCACGGTTAGAAAAGGTTGTACACATATTATATAAGTTTACCATACCTTCATTTTTTTTTCTTCTTCAAATACTGGATATCCAACCCGCTATGCGAGCCGACTAATCTCAGAGCGACCACCTGCTTTTGCGGGCAGTTCAGAGTCACCGCAATTGAACCTCCGTAGCCACAAAACAATTTTTATTCCTCATTGGATTTGAACCTGAGACCTCCAGACACTTTTAACTTATGGAGCTCAAACTCAAACCAATTCAACACCATCCTTGTGGTTTCATCTTTTTCATACAGAGATCGTTTTTTCGTGACTTTGGTCGTACATTTATTATATGTGGATAATATATCTCACATCCCAAGAAGATTTCTACCCTTGTTTATGGTATATCCCAAAACTGAAACATTTGAATTATTTTGGAAATCAATAAATAAAACATCAACTATTTATTTATCATCATTATTATAAAAATGACTATACTTATATGACTTCTGAAGATTAATTTGTTTTACCAAAGGATTATTGATTGAAGGGGAACCCAGTAACTCCACATTTGTGGAGCTCAGCGATTTAAATATCACAAAAGGTGAAAAATTATATAAGATTTTAATTTGACGTATATAACTATTATATATTTAACCACAAGAGTGGTGCCTGATTGGTTTGAGCTTGACTCCAAATGTCAAAAGTACCAGGAAATATCAGGTTCAAATCCAAGGAGGAATAAAAATCCCCTTGTGGCTACGGAGATTCAAATGCAGTGACTCCGGGCTATTTGCAAAGCAGGTGATCGCCTTGGAATTAATCGGCTCGCATAGCGGGTTGGATATCCATGTCAATAAAAAAACCTATTATATATTTAAAAGGAGATTTAACCGTAATGCGTTATTAATAATTACTTTAGACATTTAACAAACAATTAAAAAGATAACTTATTTGTTACAAAATAAATTTTTACAATAAAAATGATATACAAATAAAAAGTTATTACACTTTTTAATGAATTAAATAATAATTTTACCTTTAAAATAATATTTTTTTAAATAACAATTTTACCCTTAAAATAATAAATTTTTTCCATTTTATAATTAAACATAAAATAAAAAAGTAAATATTACTTAAAAATAGACGCTCATTTTAAAACAAGTTGTTTGGGAGAGAAATAAGTAATCAATGAGAATAGAAATAAAAAAAATTGTTTGCATTTATATAATATGATAAGTTCATTCCTCTATAAATCCAAATTTTGATTCCAGGTAGGGGTGTCCAAAGGTTGAATTAACCGAAGCCCGATCCAAAAATAAGGCATTTATGTAAAATTCGAATGTCCTGAAATCCGAAAAGCTGAAAACCAAATTGGGAAAAAATTGGGTTCCGGTTGGGGTTTGATTTTTGGCGACCTGATGTGTCCGAAAACCCAATATATATATATATATACACACACACACACACATATTTTTTAAATACTATATAAATATACTTATTTATCTAGTTACCTTTTGAAAATTTTATTAAACTTAGTCGGTCTTGGTTTTTTTAATTCATTTATAAGAATACTACTGATTTATCAACCATCTAAATCGATTGGATATATATTTCATTATAACTAAACCCGAACCCGACCGACATCAATTTGAAACCAACCGACCCAAACCCGAAGCAATCCGAAATCCAAAATCCAAATTTTGGGCCTTAATTTCCATATCTGAAACCCGATCGGGTTTTTGATTTTCCCACCCGATGCACACCTGATACCCCTAATTCCAGGTTAAACCGAGGGAATGGAAATTCATTTAATTTTTATTTCCTGTCATTTCATTTTCCTGCCTGAACAAAACACCTCTAAAACAATAATATAACACTTAGGGCTGTTCAATTCATTTTTCATTAAGATCTGTATGGATAAGGTTGCTTGTATGGGTAAGGTTGTCTGTATTGTATAACATAAATTGTTGTTCGGTTGTTCTACTAAATAAACAGTCTGAATGTTATAAATGACCATTTACTCCTCAATTTATATTTTCAAATCCAATTCCAAACTACTTCATTTTCAAATATATCAAACCCAAATCAGAACAATTTCATTCCCAAAAATATCAATCCCTATTATTCTTTTTCCAATCCTAAAATCTTCAAATTACTATATATGTATAGTTGTGCACATATAAACACAGCGGGCATATCCTTTTTTTACCGTACAAATCCATTTTCAGGAGTAACAACAACCAACCTAAATGCTGGGAGGTTAGTTTGAGGTTCAAGTATCAGATAAAGAAATGTAGAAATGAACGGAATCAAATTTTCAATTAAAGAAGAAGTTGCTGGAGAAAAAGTTATATTTTACTAGATAAAACAGAATCAAAGGAATATATTCGAGATGCAGAAGGAAAAAGATGAAGAGGAGTTACCAAGTGTGAGGGCAACCACGACAAGGGTTTTGTTGTTTAGAGGCGTCAGAAGAAATTTGCAGAAGCGTGAATCGGTTGCAAGGGTAGTTGGAGAAATTTTTTAGCTGAACAATTAAGTCATCGTCCGAAGGAGTAAGCCGTAATCGAAGAACTAGTTATGACTGAGTAAATAAACCATTAATGCTATACAATTTATTAAGTCATAACTGAACAACCCCTTTTCGAACGGAAAGACAATATTTACTTTTTACCACGCATAAACGTGATACAGATTTTTCAACTACCAATTTTGTCGGGAGGATTCTTCAGAAAATATATATTATCAGTCTCTACCTCCTACCATCGTGTCGCCTTCCTTCCGGTATACCTTCTTCTCACTCCGATCCTTCTCTCTCTCTCTCTCTCTCTCTACGTTTCTCCGACGACGACGCGGTTTTTCTTTTCTGCTTGAAATAGCCACCGTGAGGAACAAGATTTTGAGAGATAAAGGAGCTTCTCCCCCTCCCTGTACTAGGCTTTTCTGTGTTCTCGCCTAATTACCCATAGCTGCTGCTTTAAGCATTTCAATCGACACGCCTTCAGGTGATCTTTTGTTTGGTCTTGTTTTCTTTTTCAAACTAGGGTTTCTTGCTGCTCTTCAGATCTAATGTGAAGGTTTTGATACCCCGATAAAACCCTAAAACTAAATATGGCTGTTCGTAACGCGAAATGGGGTTCTTATCAGGGTTTGTCTTATTTACGCTGAGATTGTATATTTCTTGAATGATTTTTCAAAGCTATTTGCGAAGTAAATGGTCTGGTTAAACTATGAAATAATTTTTGAAAGAATTTGTAGTACGGTTGATCTTGTTGCATTTTGAACCCATGAAAGAATAAACCAACGCCTCCAGATCGTATATTGCATGTGTGTAAATTATCTTGGTTTGCGTATGTTAAATATCCTGCTCTCTAATCATTGGTATAGCTCCTGTGAGGTAGTTGATTTAACTGTGATCAATGATAAGGGTATCTTTTCTTGCATTTTAGATCACGAACAAGTAAGCAACCGTGTTAAGTAAGACCATTATGAATCGTTCAAGCTTTGATTGGACCTCTGACCTCAGAAATTATGGAACCTCATTTTCGTAGGAACCTGTTTTGCCTTCAATTTCTGTCACATCTTTTAGCCGTTTGAATGAGACGATTTCTTAGATATAGTATATCGTCATGGATGTGGGTGTTTAAAATTGAAGTATACTTCGTCAAGTTATAGATCCTGACTTATTGCCTTTTCTCAAAACGATGGCTTATGATCAAATTATAGGATATAGCCACTAGTTAACAAATCAAGCAAGAAATAGCTATGTTTGTCACAAAAAATGCAGCTGGAACTTGGAAGAGCTTTGTGGAGAGAAGTTCGAGGTATCTATTAGATAAATGACAGGAGTTAAAAATGAACAACCTAAATACAAAGACATGACAATACCAAAGGAATACTTGACATAGTGTGTGTGTGTATATATATCAAGACATGCTTGACAGTTGACAATCCATACATATCCATATGGTGGAACTTTCTAGATGCATAAAAGTGGAAACAAATGTAGTTACTGTATCTCATAGTCATAGGCAGCTGAAATGCATTAATGATGTATTTTGTTTCACTTCAGTATAGTGTAATGAATGAATAGAGATGCCAAGTTTTGTGTATTCCTGAGTATTATACTGCCTGTGGTGTTTATACAGCTTGTGCATTATTATGCTTGTATTGTTTCAAAACAAGCTTTTTCAGAGAAAGTAGTGAAAAGAGAATCAACAACAAAAGAGAGTAATGAGCTGTCTGATTGTTTAGGAGACTGTTTTTCATGTTCTAAGATTACATATTTCAACCATGAGACTGAGAGGAAGCTTTTGACAAGCCCAAAATGACCACAAATTTTCAACAAAAAGAAGAGATGACAATGAGATGGAAGAAGCATTTTAGTTAAGTTGAGAAGCTCATGTGCGGAGTGTTGGGGTATGTGGGCATGCATGGTGCTTTGCCTAACCTTTCACTGGCATGAGAACCTTTCTCAAACTGGAGCTTGTTAGATAATGTGAAGAGTAGCTCCTTTGGCAAAATCACTCACGAATTTCGGGTATTTGGCAAGCGAAACAACTCATGTGACCAAAGCATATAGGTAGATGGTTGGTAAAATTTTATTCAATTGCATTCGTTCTGACAGGAGAACCTAAGAGAGCCATATATATTTCCAATTAGGGGCACACAATAGTGTCCTACATGCATAGCGTTCTTTGTCAGTTTGATAACAGATCCAAAAACCTTTCAAGGAAAATAAACTAAAGATCCCAGAGAATCCCTAGACAACTAATGATAGTTTCATAAAAAATACCTAAATTTTTCACGGTGCATTATCCCACACGGTGCTCATATGTTCTCCTAGTGTGTCACTATAAATGGTGAGGTGCCACAACGGAAAATTGCCACTTTATTCCCCATTCATTCTTGCTGACTTCCAGTTTTTGATCTGTGCTTTTGGATATAGCGATATCTATCATATGAACATATTTGTTGTGGTTGCGACTTTAAATAGATGATATTTGATATCTTGTGATTTTGTTTTATACAGATCTTAATAACATGAGGGTGCTTGAGTGATATAAGATACATTTTCTCAACTTGGTCTTCCAAAATATGGCTTCTATTGGTATGGCTCCACCGACAGTTGAAAAAGTTGATGGTGATTCAATGTGTGTTGACAAACTGCCCGAGGAAATCAACGAAATGAAAATCAGAGATGAAAAGGTGGAAAAGGTTGCTCCTGGCGTCTTCAGCATAATATTTTTCTATATTTTGCCTTGTGTCCTTAGGGTGCATCTCTACTACAAATTTTCACATAAAGCTAGCCTCTTGCAGGAAATGGAGGCGACTGTGGTGGATGGAAATGGCACTGAAACTGGTCATATTATTGTTACTACTATTGGAGGTAGAAATGGTCAACCCAAACAGGTATGGAACGAATATTATTATGCGTACAAGTGCAAATTTTTGGCACGCCTTTCAGTAGTAGGTGGCATTCCTCTGTAGCTCTAATTGGTCTTTACTGAGTCATTTTTGTTATAACAATGGGTTCTGTATTTGCTCTTATTTGCTTTTGAGAATTGCTTCTTGACCTAACCCTCACTTTATGTCATGGGTTGCTTAGTTTGATAACTTCCGCTTCATGTGATAGCAACTGATGAAAGCAATAGATCTTTTACTGAAATATAGATCTATGGCCGCGTTGAAAAAACATGTAATTTCTATAGCATAAATGGATAGAAAAGGCATATATTTGGGACATGGAATCGAGTTACCTCAATTTTGCAAGTCTTGGTTGCTTGGCAGTTTTGGGTGGTGCTTTAGGTGTAACTTAATTTTATATATACATGAGGAAGTATTTAAAGGCTTCCAGTAGTTGGTGAAATACTTTCTGATATTTGATTCAATTTTATCTTGTTGACTGTTGTTTCAGACAATAAGCTATATGGCAGAGCGTGTTGTTGGCCAGGGTTCTTTTGGAATAGTTTTTCAGGTAATACTCTTAAGCAACTACTCTGAATTGTCAAAATTGGTATCCAAAGATGGGACTTTACCCTGCATGTATGTCACCCATTGGATTTTTACTTCTGCAGGCCAAGTGCTTAGAAACTGGAGAAGCTGTTGCAATTAAAAAAGTATTGCAGGATAAACGATACAAGAATCGTGAATTGCAAACGATGCGACTTCTCGATCATCCCAATGTTATTTCACTTAAACACTGCTTCTTTTCAACTACAGACAAAGATGAGCTTTATCTCAATTTGGTTTTAGAATATGTGCCAGAGACAGCTTATCGTGTAGCAAGACACTACAGCAAGGCAAATCAAAGGATGCCTATGATTTATGTCAAACTATACACGTATCAGGTATGCCCTTTACATGTAAAAAATCTTGTTTATTCTCATCAATTTCCGGACCCTGCTAGTAGTCATATCTTGTTGCTATGCTGTGATTTCTTTTTCGCACTCATGAAAAAAGAGTACATCCATGTCTTCTGCAGAGGTTTTTCTTTGTCAGGATTTTTTGGGAACTCTGAAACTTCCAAAGAAATTCTGTCATACGTAAGCTGGTTGTAGAAAGACTTGGAGAAATCGGATTATTATCCCCTGTGCTCTTCATAGGACAAGATGTAGGAGAAAACATAAGTTCTGGGCCCCCATTCTGAGCTTCCATCATGTATATACGTTTCCAATTATGAAGCACAAAGGCCAATCTAACACCCTAATTCCTCTTATTTTGGCAAATGTGTGGACAAGCACCATGGGATTCTTGTAATTAGATTGTAATTAGGCTCCCAAGAAACTCTTTGTTATACAAGTTTGCTTTGTCTAGACAGAGTATTAATTGTGTGCTTGCCTTTTTTGTGCTGATGAATGATGTCTTGTTTTATGAATTATTGTAATACTCTGGTGTCTTTCAGATTTTCAGAGCACTGGCATATATTCATGCAATTGGTGTCTGCCACCGAGACATTAAGCCTCAAAATCTTCTGGTATGCATCTAAATGCTATCTCCCCTCCCCCAAAGAAAAAACAGAAAGAGACAAAATCAGGGCATGAAGTTTAATAAGTAAAAACTGTTTCAATCTGCTTTGCAGGTCAATCCTCATACTCACCAGCTAAAACTCTGTGACTTTGGAAGTGCAAAAGTTCTGGTAATATGTTTGTTTAATTTGATTTAAATGCAGAAATACCACCTTCTTCTAATTTGCTATGTTTTCTGTGAATTGTCATTATCTGCTAATCTTTCTGTAACTTGTTTATATAGTGTTGCAATGTATTTCTCGTGTTTCTTGTTTTTATATAATATTGCATGCATGCATGCAACAGGTCAAAGGTGAACCAAATATATCCTACATATGTTCTCGATATTACCGTGCGCCTGAACTCATCTTTGGGGCAACCGAATACACAACTGCAATTGATGTATGGTCAGTCGGTTGTGTCCTTGCTGAACTGCTTCTGGGACAGGTTCTTACTTCTTAGCAACAACTCATTTCTTATTTTGAGCTGTTAATTATGATGATGTTTTGCAGAGTTTGTGTTCTTTTACGATTTCCTTTTGTGTCTTTTTGCACTCTTAGCCTCTGTTCCCAGGTGAGAGCGGAGTTGACCAACTTGTAGAAATCATTAAGGCAAGTTATCGGTATTCTGTTACAAAAGAATGTCTATTTTCCAAAGTTCTTTGTTCCTGTTATCATTTGATTCTTTCTTTTTATCATCTCTGTAGGTCCTTGGTACTCCAACTCGTGAAGAAATCAAGTGTATGAATCCAAACTACACAGAGTTTAAGTTCCCACAAATCAAAGCTCACCCATGGCACAAAGTGAGGACCTTGCTTTTAATGTCCACTTCGACTTGCTATAACTTGAATTTGCACAACTTGATTGGCATTTATTTGGCGTACATAGATTTTTCACAAGCGGACACCCCCGGAAGCTGTAGATCTTGTTTCAAGACTGCTGCAATACTCCCCAAACTTGAGGTGCAATGCTGTAAGTGCATCTCGCCTTTTCCTTGATCTTTGCCTTACTGGATTAGCCACTATTTAGCTTTTGCTGTCTTAACTGTCTGTAAGCTTCATATATGGTGTCTTTTGTTTTTATTTTCTTTTGTATCCATGTTGCTTCAGAAATTGGTTTGATAGCCCAAGAATTTTTATTTGATGTAGATAATATTGTATATACAACAAAACTCACACGCTATCCTCATGTCTGGTGAGGCTTGAACCCTTGACCTCCAAGATGTTGGGATTTGCCAATAACTTGGATCCTGCTCGGCCATGTTAGTCGATATACCATGAAAGTTGAAGTATTAGGTCAGGATTATAGTTTTAGCCAAAAAAGATCTTCAAATACTAAAAGTAATCCTCAATTAATGGAGTCTTGTGGACTCATATCAATAGAACAGTTTTGTAATCATGATAAGTGTTGCAATTATGGGGATATCACCAAAGTGTTTGAAAATTTCATGGGACGTGAGGTATATATTATGTAGCAAAGTGTGCTTGGAGGGACGAAAGTAATTCGAAGATGAAGGCATAGTAAAGTCACATAACATGTGCATAATGTGAAATTGCTTTGACAGTTGGAGGCATGCATTCACCCATTCTTTGATGAACTTCGTGATCCAAACACTCGTCTACCAAATGGCCGTCCATTGCCACCCCTCTTCAATTTCAAGCCTCAAGGTTAGTAAGTTGTTTCCTTTTTTCATGTAGTTGGTTGGTGTTGTTTCCATTTGGAATCTTCTTAATATGAGCATATTGATGACAGAGCTAAAAGGTGCGTCTTTGGAACTTGTGGCTAAACTAATACCAGAACATGCTAGGAAGCAGTGTCCCTTCCTTGGCTTTTGAGTTGTGTAACATGTTTGTAGCCACGGTGCCTATTTATTATGATGTAGCCTTGTTTGGTAATGTTATCCTTTGATATTTGATGACTTGGTATTTATGTTGAGATTTATTTGGTAGGAGAATTACGTTTGTATTTATGTTACATGTTTGTTGCCAAACCCGTTATCAATTTCTGGTATTACTATAAATTTTAAACTCAATTTTTAATCGTGAAATCAATATATGCAATCAATCACAAAATAACATACTGTTGAACTTCAAATCTTATGTTTTCAAAGCATGCAACATTTATTCAATTGATTTGTGATTTTTGGCAAGTCTTTATCTAGGATCATACTCAGAAAAAACCAATTCTTCTAGAATCGAATGATATCCAACTTCAGTCTATCCAATTCTAGCCTGCCTTAATTAAGAGAGAAAAATTAATTAGTTGGGCAAAAGTGTGCTCTAATTAATTATAGAATGTAATAATTCTACATTATGTTGTTCACAGAGTATATGTCAATTCTAGTTATGGTTTTCTTGTCAGCCAACTTTAATGTTATATTTTTACATATGGGCAATAGGCGGATGGATGGCTTATAAGCAAAAGACCAGATAAATACATACATACAGCCTCCAAATGCTAATATAACTCTTTTTGGTCGTGAAATCAGAACTCATCCTAAACACTACCAGTTTAGCATCTCGGGATGGATACATACAGATACGAAACAAATGTTCTACCTCTAGTTTCGGCTAATAATAATAGAATCAAGATCCTCCGAATCCAGCACCTGCCTTCCATCTTTTGCGGCTTTCTATGCTTTCCGGCCTTGACAATCCCGTCCGATCCTCGTATTTCTGTTCTAACGCCTGTTTGGTGTTCATAAAAACAATTCATAACAAAGCCAACATCAGAAGCATGTCAATTGCCAACTGATGAAACAAGCTACTAGCATCCCCAAGGTCCAAAGTTTCTGGATAAATGGAAGAACCGAAAGGTAAAACTCATGTGGCCATGGTCTGAAACAAACTCTCCCAAGAAAAACGTATGGGATTCTTCAAGGTCATGTATAAAATAAGAGACAGAAAAGGACTAACTTCTCTAAACCTGACTTTACCTTCTTTAATCAGTGTTAACTCTCATGTTGAAGACAGATTGGAGAAGCAAGGCCCTGTATCACTCCACATTCATTGTGTTCCAGGTGATTGTGGACAGTCAAGGGGTTAATGAGTTCTAAGTTCTACCACCATAGATAGAATCACTATAACCATATCAAGTGATTCATTAGTTCCCTGAAATCTAAGGATACTACCTTTAAGGAATATGTAGTTAACAACTGTAGGTGAATGATACTATAAATGCCTATACCATAAGATCCAAAGGAACCTGTCACCTAGATCTTGAACCTAAGTTGAAAGTCAATTCTTCATGCCTAGGGGTAGGTTCGGATGGGATGGGACTGGATGAGTGAGTGTGAGGTATACAGGTGAAAAATCCTGAAGGTTTTAGAGTTTTTGACATGTGGATGGTTAAGTAATTTAGTGATCTTGTCTCATCTACATGATTTTTTTTTCCACCTATTTTGTTGGGACAAAAAAAATGCATTTTTGTCCTAGTCTGTTGTTGCGCCAAACATAGGAAAAGTTGTTGTACTATCCCAAAGGCACCCTAAAGGTTAGCTTGCTTGGTGGCAGATCTAGTAATTTTAGAGGTGGGTTCGGAATTTAAGTAACATACAAGTTAAATGATTATATATATATATAAAAGAACATCGTCAACCGGCCCATTATATAAAAACCGGCTTGGGCATGCAGATTGCAAAATATGGCAAGTTACTATTCATAGCCGGAAAACTTTGTACTTGAGTGATTTTAGTGTTTCATTTTTAGTGATTGTGCGCTTTTCTTTTAAAAAATGTTTCTATTTTTTAACGGAAGAATGACAAAATAAATAATTAGCCCCCCAAACCAAAACAAATAACAATTAGGAACCAAAATTGAACAAACCCTAATTTAATAAACATCTAAACAAGATTAACATTATATAAACGACGACTTTTAGTAAACCCTAACTCAATAAACTAATAAACTAGATTAATTTAATCAACATAATATTCTGTTCATTCCAAAATAAGTTTCCACATTTTCTTGAGTTTGTAACAAAACAAATGTCCATTTTCAAAATTAAGTGTCCATTTCTCTATTTCTACCCTTAATTATGAGACGGTAAAATTCTCTTTTAGTTGATAACACCCCTAAAACTGTATGACTTCTTTCATAGTAGGCATTTATTTTAAGAACGAAGGAAATAATAAGGAAAATAATATCAAGGAAAAGTGAAATAAGTTATTTCCTTTAATTGAGTATTTGGTTGGACAATTAAACTAAAGTAATGAATAGGGGATTAACACAGATAAACAATTTTAATTGGGATTTCAGATTTAAGTGAAACTTTGGGGGTCAAACGAAATTTAAACGGCTATCTACCGCTTTTAACCCAATTTGCTAAGGCTCGTGCACTGATTTACGTTCAGGTGTCAAAGGTTAACTAGATTTATAAAGAATAAATAATTGACCAATGAAAAAAACATAATTTTAAAAACATTATGGGTACCCATCTCTTCAACCTAAGGGCCGTTTATCTAAACACTTACCCGGTAAGCACTTATCGGTAAAATTCAAACTATCGCTTACTGGGTAAGATTTTATTCATTAAAACGCATCGTATACAACAATTAATCCCGGTAAGCGTTAACCATGGTAAGAGTCGTCATCCTCACTTACCGGGTAAGACTCTTAATTCTTACCTTCGCTCTTACCGGGTAAGATTCTTAGTCTTTGCCATATTCATCATGTAAAGTAAAATGACTTGGTAAGTGCTTACTCGGGTAAGCGTTTGGTAAACGGCACCTAAGTCCGCCCATTAATCATAAGATTAGATTATATTATTATTCACTTCCAATAATTACTCACCAGTAGTTCTGAACGGATACTATCGACAACTTCTCCTGTCATCCTGTCAAAAAAGAGAATTCCCTGTAGAAATACGAAATGCATGACAGAAATATCAGTGTGGAAAGCAACCCAAAAACATGAGAATTTTCAGCCACGTGCACCATGGCCATGATAGTTGCCTGCTAATGCTAAAACACAATTTATTTAGGAGTCATCAAAACATTCTGTCAATCAACTTGTCTAAATCCAACATCTGGAGTTCCGCAGACAAATAGTTCCTATAGATAATTCATTACAGTCAATTACGGGGAACACTGTAACAGAGAGGTTTTAGGGAAGATTTTCCTTACAGGTGTGAGGTGGCATTAATATTTTAAGTTAGGTTCAGAAACTTAAAATTTGTAAAATGCCATTCATATAATTATATCCAAGTGACAAAGATCAAAACCATTCCAACAAATAGTAGATATTGATTAACTTGCCTCCAAATGATCAAATTCATGTTGGAAAACCCGTGCGGGGAGGCGTGACAAGCTAACTGAAAACTTTGCACCAGTAATGTCTTGTGCATCAACCTTGACAGCTTCTGGCCTCTGCAAGGTAACAGTTGAAGAGACATGAAAGTATTATAGCTAAAAAGTACATAGTACATACCTCAATTGGTTAAATGAATATATCTGAAACCCTGGAAAAGTTTTGGTCTCTGCAGATTAAAGAAGAACATCCTCTTGTCTGTCTTATTGTTATCGTCTGTGTTTACATTTCTTTGTAGCTTAGTTTTCTTTTGTGTTTCATTAGTTCTCTGGTGCTTGCAATTGTTTATGGACATTTTGATGTTGGGTTATTTATACTTGTTAGATATCTATCTATACTAATAGAACATTTAAGAAACACTCTTAGTATTGTCTACAAAGCATTAACAACAAATCACTGATGCATCACGAGTTATGGTTTGTCGAAATTTTTTGGTTGAAAGCATGTCACACATAGGTGGAGCAACAAAAGGTGGAGTGAGATCCATGTCTATAAAAGAGTCCAAGATGTTGGCTACAGAGCACATCAATCTAATCCACTTTAAGTATTTGATTATCTTCTTTCTTGTTTCTCTTGTTATAGAGTGTAAAAATGTGAGATACAGCCTTGAAGGGCGGCTTGAGAGATTAGTGTGCGTAATGGTGATATTTTTTTTACATAATGAATTTCTGTCTAGAGGCCGATGTATCCAAAAAGTAATCAAAGCAATTTATCCATTTATTTTCAAACATAACTCTAAGATTTTTTTTTAATAAGAATTGCATTAATTTTCCATTTTCGGTTTACAATAAAAAAAAATCATCTTGTGGCATTTGCCATCAGGTACACAACTAATATATACATTAATATACCTTTGTAACTTTTGTAGGTTCTATACATGGGGTTATATACGAAAATTGTTAGGGGTTATATTGTTGTTCATCTTCATCCATGAGTAGAGAGACGAGAGTAGAGAACTTGTGGGATAATCTGATTGAATCATTAAAATACAGATTTTTTCTCGACATCTCATCTCCTCCTGTCCATTTATATAGTGATTCTTAAACTCTAGCAATAGTGATGATTTTCTATTTTGCCCAAGTGATGATATCTCATGCATGAACCTGGATATTTTAGGTTCTTATGTATTATCAGGGATGTCCCATACAATGCTCATGTAAGTTTCAAGGTTCTTAATTTCCTTTATCAATCATATACACTCCTAGTGGGCCATGCTTTGGGGGGTTAGAAAAGAGTATCTCAAAATAAACCTAAGATGAAACATCATCAGTTTAATATGAAGAACTGAAAAGAGGGTATATGTTATTACCACCACATCAGCATTGATCCCTGGAAAGGATAAGCACCCTTCTGTAAATGGACCCAACTTTTTAGAATATCTTGTGACTTGTGGATTTACAAGAACAATCTCCTCTCCTTCACCTCGCTCACCAATTGGGTTAAACACCATAAGTCGAACATTAATTCCAACTTGGGGTGCTGAGAGCCCAATGCCATCAGTTCTGTGGACAAGAAAGCCAACAAGTATTGTTCATACTCCTGTACATAACAAGATTGGCTATAAGCCTGAAAAATGAAAATGTGTCCCTTAAATAAATCAGAAACAATCACTTAGAGAACACAAAGTTATAGCAATTACCCAAACACATATGATCAAGATAAGAAAAGTAAGAAACAAAAACATAGTTGTCTGCAATATTTATTTTCCCCTTCCTTAAAAGAAATGGTATAAGCCTATGGTTGAACTTTTAACCAAATCAAGATGGTTCAAATTTCAAGCAACTTTCATCATAAGTCTCCACTTTCACCTTACACCTATTGCTTGGATTAATTTCAACTCAACCCATCAACACTTCCTATTACAGGTTGAGGAGCAACAGAAACCTGAGTTGTCATTCCCATCTTTCTAATAAAATCACAACCAAATGTTCGAGAAGGAACATTGGTTAGTAATGGCCAACCCACAAAATATTAAGATCTGGATTATTTTAATAATTTGAATACATATCGCTTGACATAGTCAAAGGAGCAAGGACAAGCCCTAGAAATATATACATGTCGGTGTGGCCAGGAGAAATTTGGTTAACGAGTAAATGTATATCTATAGCTAAACGACACAAACTTAATATAAATTATCCATGTTCTCAACCTTTTTACACAATAAAATGCTCCAAGATGACTTTTCTGGCAAAATTGATAACCTAAGGGGGTGTTCACAAATCTTTCAAGGGACCAGAGTCCGTATTTTAAAAAATTAGAAGACACAAAGTGGCACCTCTAAGACATCAAGGGTGCCACCCTCCTGCTTAGTTGCCCAGCGACTAGCTCTGTACAGGACATGCAAACAAGCCCCGACTTCTCATTGACCACCTTATTGTACTTCTCTGGTATGTAATCCAGCTCCACCTCACCGATGAGAGACACATCAGAGTTCCAATGCACACAAATTGGAATTCTCGGATGATCATATGAGACCAGGGAAAACATCAAGAAAAATCCAAAAATTTCACCCAAAACTTGGCATTTGATGCAATATCTTAAGTGTGCAAGCCTCATCCATTATGTAGCTAAATTGCTATTTCAGCTACAAGTATGTGACTTTTGCAAGGCTAAATTGTTATCATTCTACCCTCTAGAACTTAATTGTCAAGTATGCTCCTCTTAGCCCTCCTTAAGTGTCAGTGGCCCTACAAGATGTTGATTACACGTTTCCCTAACAATATGGACACCCCCCCCCCAAAAAAAAAAAACACACACACAACAAAAGTAATCATGTTCTTCATTGATGAACTTCCATTCTTAAGAAGCTCTAAAGTCTAGCAAATTACACCAATTATGCTACTTCTCTTATGAGAAAACATGTTTAGTTGCATAACCTTTGCACACGTTGAGAGCACATTCGAGGTCTTCCACATACTTGAATACACTTCAAAGTCAAACATTTGCAATTTAATTAGCGCCTTAGCCATTTGGTTTTGCCATCAAATCACCAACTAATTGCTTGCAGACGCACACATAAACCATGAGCAATTACAATGCTGCATATAATTGAGGGAAGAGCACTCACTTGTACATTAAGTCAAACATTTCATCTACTAACTTCTTCAAGTTCTCATCAAATGTATCAACACGCTTGTTCTTTGCCCTAAGTATGGGGTCTGGATACAGTACAATTTTGAGCGGAGCTTCAAAGTGCATGTCAGCCGCTGAAATGACAGGCACAATCAAATAGCAGTACAAAGAATTTTACATGATCTGTTAATAATAATAAATGAAATAAGATAATGCATTACAAGTTTGATTTGAAAATTCAAACTCATGGTCCCCAAATTTTTCGAAATTGTTATTATTACTGCTCTATATTGTTTTATGTAGTTGCTAAATTTTGCTCTGTGCAAGAATTGATTTTTCTCGAACTTAAAATTATAAACTAAAAAACAGAAACAAACTCATCTGACGATTCAAAAAGTTTGGAGCATTAAAGTATAAGTGAGCATTCACAAAAACAAATTTACGTGTAGCTGTAGCTATTTCCTCTTCCTTTTTCTGCAAGGATCCTCGCTTGGCCTGAGCTTGAACACCCATGGCTGGAGGTCTGTATTGATAATTTGAAGAAAATATAGGCCATCCTTCGGAGGAATTGGCGGTTTGAAAGGTTGCCAAATCAGTACGCCGCTGACAGCTAGTAGAACGGAAACTACCATGAGAGAGGGAGGGCAAGTGTAGCCAATTCGCACAGGCCATTTATACCTCCTTTGGTTCTCAAATATCTGGAAAGAGTAAAACAAGTAGACAATGGTGATGTCAAGAATCAGCCTGTGCCCTAGGTGAGTATTTTGCATACAGATTGTTTCCTTCCGTCCTTAATGAGTACAATCATATGGCATCTATAACATCATAAAGTGAAATTAGCTGTGCCTAAACACTATTTACCAAAAATTTGCAAATAAGATCGCATTGTAAAAGAATGAGCTACCAAGAGGAATCCATGATGAGAATGAGCAACTTCTCAGTTCTCACACAGCCATAATTTGCCAATTGACTAGGTACAGTGGCAAATAAAACCATAGCAATACCATACATCGAGAATAACAGTGAACTAGGCGAAGGCTGTGAGGCATGCTCAGTTTGAAGTTCAAAACTTATCCATTCACATGGTGGCTAGCGTAATTGAAAGGAAAAATCAAGACGAAACAAAAGATTACCTGAAGGCGTGTCGATTCGAATGCTTACAGCAACAACAATGGATAAACTCCTTTTATCTCTCTAAATCTTCTCCCTCTCGGTGGCTATGGAGGTATATGTATCAACCAGAAAACAAAAACCGCATCGTCGGAGAAGCGTTGAGGAAGAGAAGAAGGGGCACGCTATTAATCCTTTAGGATAAAATAGATAATTTTGTCATGATTCGTCTTAATTACTTAAAATTGTTTAACAAATTAATGTTTCAGTAATTCTAAAAATTGGTTCTTTTTATCTCAAAAAAAGTAATGTTAACCAACTAATAAAAGTTTGATGATTTATTATCCTTTTTAAAAAATCATGGTTTTAATAATTTAAAATGTGAAAATTTAATAGTCTTTATTTGAAAAAGTAGTTCAGTGACTTAATCAATCAAAATAAGATAGTTTAGTAATCTTTTTCATTTAAGAAAATAGTTTAGAGACTAAATCATTTAAAATGAGAAAGTTTATTGAGTTTTTTAAAACTTTTTACTTTATTTTGCATGGTAAATAGTTTTTACTTTACATAAAATTAGATAAATTTGATGTAAAATTTCAAAGTATCGACAATCACAATCCTCAATAGTTACATGTTATTGATGAAAATGGGTATCGAATAGAAATAATTGGATATTTATTATAGTAATTGATACATGTAAATTAGCGTTACATTAAGTATGGAAACAACCAAATTTTGTTTCAATTTTTTTTATTCTTCCAAAAGTAAGTCTTTTTATAAAGAATTAACTACAAATGAAATATTTAATCGAGATTACAATGTTAATGATGTGAATTAATCTGTTTTATGTCTAAACTAATATTTAATAATAACAAACATAACACTTTTGTGAAAAGTGTCAATACAAATGAGTTTTGTAATAAATGGTAACGAGTAAATAGTTAATTGTAAATGGAATTATTATTCTTAAAATGTAGATTTTTGTAATTTCGACGGATATCACTAAAAGAAGTGTTGAAATTTCAAGGTATGTGGGGTATATCATCCACGGACGCAGGTTTGGATCACCCCATATATGCCTTCCGAATATCAAGATATAACAAACTTATGTATCATGCGCAATCAGTCGATTGCATTGATATACATTGTCGGGTTTCACAAGATGGATCAGGTGATTCTCCTAAGAGTGAAAGTGGAACAAGAGCGCTCATCTACATCTAGTTTGTTAGACCTATGTGTTGGTGCTGGGTTGTCAATTTTTCGTATACAAGGAGAAGCACGAAAGCAACGTATCACCTCATTGGATATCGTTTTGACCTATCAAGAGATAATTATCCAACACTTAATTTTCTATTTGATATGTTAAATCATATATGGTTTCGTTATGTCTAATGAGTTGTCAACATGTTCATTAGTTTGATACTCTTGGACTGTCTGGAGTCTAAGTGATATTCTATTATTATGATTTTTCAACGAAATTGTTAGAGAATATCAACCGTGAAGATGCACGGGAAAACCTTGTGAAGTTTTTAATCTTGTGAACTCGAGAAGGCATATGGAGTCCGAATTGGACAACGGTAGTACGTGGATTAAAAAAAACATTCCTTGTAAGTAATATGAGTCATAAATACCATATTCGCTTGATGTTGTCATTGGATTTTCCACAATAACAATATTTGAACTTTGATACCTTCATGGGTATATGTGTGTTACACTATAGATTTCTTTTCAGAGTAAATTATATAAAGCATATGTGACACCCCAAAATAAGGTAAATAATTTATAAAAATTGATGGAAAAAAGAAAAGAAAATAAAGCGGGTTTTATTTTATTGGAGCAAACATGTAAATGAATGATTTGAGAGGGGCCAAATCTGTCATTTAATTAAAGTATTAAGGGTTTAAAATGTCAAATATTATGTCAAGAGGAGGCTAAATGTAAATATAAGAAAGTTTAGGGGGTCAAATGTCATATTTTTTAAAGATGAGGAGTCTGTTTTGCCAACAGTACACCTCTGTTTGGAGATGACAACCTTACAGCGAAAAATAGGGATTTGGGCTTGATTTTTCAACTAATACGCCAAAACTATTAGCATATTAGTATAGAGCACCGGTTGGGGATCATTTGGGTCCGAATGGTTTGAAAAATAAGTATACATCAAAAGAGAAATCGAAGTTCGGAATTCGGAATTGAAACTCTTGGTTTTTTGTCGATTTCAAGTGAGATTCTCAAGTCGTAGGGAAAAATGATATGCTACAAATGATCAAGCGATGGATCAAGAAGTCTTTACAGTCAACATCTCTAAGCTCAAAAACGAAGTTAGTAAAAAAGGGTTTGAAATCTTGTTTATTTTAAGTTGCATGATCTATTTCATTATATATTTTCTTTCTTATTGTTTTGTTTCTTAGTTGGTCTTTATATATTTATTTTAGAGTTTTTTTTATTTAAAATGTATTGAGATAATGCTTCTCTAAAATATCTTAGTAATATAATTAATATCGAAATTATTAAAACATAATAACTGTTGTTGGAACTTGGAACTGAATATAATTCTTTTTATTAATATTATAGGTATTTATACTTTATCTAGAAAATTTATTACATAACTCTTGAAAATTAATCAATTCTATAATTAAAGTTATCTGTATCATAAAAGTTTAAAATTATACTTATTAAACCTTGTAAAATTTCTCTTGATAGAAGTGATCTCCCTGCTCTATATAAAAAAAAAACCCTTATAAAATTGTTGTCTTATTATTGCAAATCAATATAATAAAAAATAAAATTAAGATTATAGATTTAGGCATTGTTTGACAAACATAAACTAGTTTGGGTGGGGGCTTGCTAATAGCAAGAAAGATTTCTTGTGTATAACTAGACCAAATATTGTTGGAGGTGATGAAGCCATGATGCCACCAGAGTTTGTCGATGAGACCAAAGGGAGAGGCATGGTGACTAGTTGGTGCCCTCAAGAACAGGTTATGAAACACCCGACAATAGGAGGATTATTGACTCATTGCTATTGAGAGTATTAGCAACGGGGTTCCAGTGATTTGTTGGCCCCTTTTTTTGCAGAACAACAAACAAATTGTCGATATAGTTGTGTAGAATGGGGATAGGGATGGAAAGAAAGGGAAGATGATGACGAACAAGGGTTTGGAGTGGAAGAAGAAGGCCGAAGAAGCCGTGGCTATTGGTGGATCATCTTATATCAACTTCCATAAACTAATTACAGATGTTCTATTGAGAAATTAAAGTCGACATTCTTGTTGCTAGCTGCTAGTTATTAAGTCTTCCAAACAGTCATTTTTTAATGTTTGTTATCTACTTGTCTTGTAACAAGTGTTACACATATATCTTTAAGTCATCATACGTAAGATTGTAGATGGATCTAATGGACACCTGTGGCAATTCCATTGGCTTCAAGCCATGACTATGTCAAAGCTTAAGCTTGTATCTTCTTTCATTTTTAATTTTAGCTTTGAAAAATAAAACAATTCTAATAATGTTTATGTAAGTTGCATAAAAATTAAACTTATATTATTTTGTTTCATAGTTAATAAAATTGCGTTAAATGATTTTAGTAAAATATTTAAAGAAAATATTGACAATAAAGGTGTGGGCGTGTGGCTTCACACACACCCCAACTACGATCTGATCCAATCTCATCTCATCTCGTATTTTTGGCATTCAATCTTCACAGTTCCCAAGGATGGTATATTGGTATGCATCTCTATCTTATGGTTGACCCCACTCTTATCCTTTATGGAAATCCATTTGCCCACTCCTTCTCGATAACCCATTTCTCGCTCTAATCTTCCTTTATTTCATTTACCATCTCTTATTTTTTTTTTCTATTAATCTGAATATCCAATTTGCTATGTGAGTTAACTAATTTCAGGACGACCGCCTGATTTGTAGATAGTCCGGAGTCATCGCATTTGAACCTCCATGACCATAAGAAGATTTTTGTTTCTCATTGGATTTGAACCTGGGACCTCCAAATACTTGTGACCTTTGGAGTCAAACTCAAACCAATCAAACACCATTCCTATAGTTTGCTTATTCATATTTAATACCCAATTAAATGGATTTCAAATTGTACTTCCTATTTGATTTAATAATTGTTTATTTGCTTTTAACTCTTGAATATTTTGTTAAAGTGCTACTTTTGGTGTTATATTACTTATCGTTACCCTTGATGTTTATAGAGCTAAACAAATTTATGATCAACTAAATATGAATCAAAAGATCCATAAAAAGTACGTAAAAACGCTACAAATAAGATATAAAAAGCATAAAAATCGGCATGGTATTGGTTCGTCTAAGTAAATAAAGGCGAAGACGATCACTTTCTTTTGACAAGTTTTATGAATTTTATTTTTGGTGAAATAAGAAGAGGGTGTATTTCTCATCTTTCTAACTCTTAATTTTAAAGGTTTTTTCTTTTTCATATATCTTTTCTCTATTTTAAGAAAGTCTTTAAAATATTTGTTGGAACAAATAAAAGATGATCAACACTCCGAAATCTTTATTTTCTACATATTGAAACACAGACACAGACACACACACACACACACACACACACATATATATATATATATATATATATATATATATTAGGTTTTCTGTATAACTTGTTTGAAGAATCTCGAATCATGCTTCAAAACCCCTAGATGTTAGCATAGTGAATACAACGTGAAACCTACTTAACATGTTTCACATATGAATTTTACAAGTGCTATCAACTTTTTTAAAGCTATACTTTTTATTGGGTAAGCTTGAGTTTCCAAGCCAGTTTAGGTGTGCCAAATAATTCTCAAAGCGGCTATGAATATTCTGAACTCATCGCAGACAAATCTCCATGGTCAAAAGGGAATTGGCAGCACCTAGATTCGAATTGGAGGTGGATGAAATTTCCACTACACCCCCTAAAACATAACCAATGCGCCATAACCCAAGCTATATTCGTTTGTTGGAATATTTGACATTTGTTTATATGTATATAAATTAGTGTTTTATATAGATCTCATCGACCATTTAAACTAGCTAAATGTGTTATATGTCACAAAAAAAAAAAAAATATTAATTAGATTTTTCTAACTGTGAATGTTTGTGTCAACTTGCATATAACTCGATTAATCTTAGATTCCTAGGGGTCCTAGAGAACAAAAAAAAAATTACAGTTGTTTTACAAGATTCTCTAATAAGAATTCCTAAAAATCAAAGTCTTATTATAAATTAAGCTACTCAGACTTTTTATATTCATAATATTGGTTTATCATTTTGAAGGGAAAAAAATAAATCTATAATGTTCAATAAAATTATTGAAGCATTAATTAACTATTTAAAATATGTTTTAATAAAAATTAAAAAAAAAATTGTTATACGTTTATGAACAACATACAAAAGGAAAATTTTTGTATTTTATTTTGACCAAAAAAAAATTAAAAATATACTATTCTTGTCCTATAGCCTAAGGGTCTTTTTAATATTTAAAATTAGTTTTTTTTAATAATATTTAAAATTATTTACTTTATTTATCTGGTAAAGAGTTATATTTGCTTTTAGCATTGTAAAAAACAATACAATCGATATTAGTAATTACATAGATTAATATAAAGGTCGAAAGTTATTCTTTCGTTTGCATTTGTTTGGTATATGTTTAAAATCAAATATTTAATATTGCAGAAGAAAATGAATGGTCTTCAATATTGGAATTAATAAAAATAATTAGACTGAAAAAGACAAGTATTTTGATAGTTATCACTGAACTTTGGGTTGCCACATCTGATCATTATTCATAGTAATTAATATTTTTGTATAAAAAACAACTGAATTAATAGAAAACACTGAATAAAACAACATTTTTTATTTTTTATAAGAAAGAAATAAGAAAATAGCTTCTAAGTATAAATATTGTTATAATTAGTAACACCTTGCAAGATATGTTATAAGTTTGTAGTCTTATTTTTTTCTGTAATAACTTGACTTGTTTATAATTAAACATGCCATTGCTCTATAATTGTTTTCATGACCAATTTATCATGGATCAGTATTTTCTATCGTCAATATATCATTTAATTTATCATATAGAATAACATTGTTTTACACTAATGTTTAAATCTGCATAAAAAGGCTAAATGATGAACAACCGTACATGGTTTAAAATATAACATACGGAATCCCAAAACATAATTTTTTAGTTCCATTGTAATATTATGTGTCAAAAGCTGCTTTTCAAAAGAAACAACACACACATTGACCTGATAATGTAAACAATTATAAATAATGCATTACTTCTACGAACTTACAAGGAGAAGCATTTTACACCTACACCATGTCTATACTTAAATTATTGACAATCAAATATTAATTCAGATAGAACTATATTGCATTATTAATGTTAATAGATGCACAAATCCAATTAACTGAGGCGTGGATCGTTGGTCAGAGTCATTTTTAGTGTCAAACAACATAGTGTTTTACTAACTATTAATTCATATAAAATTACGATAATAATTAATTTTTTCGCTAATCAATTTTTAATTATAAGAAAAAAATATTTTTAAAATTGCTAATCAAATAACTAGAACCTTTAAACAAAATAAAAATTGGTAGATTATTAAATTATCATTAGAATATCTTTATCAGCTTCTTTAAAATGGAGATTTTGAATGTTCTTTTTTGCTTTAACAGATTCTTCAAAACAAAGAATTCCCTAACTATAATAAAAAATTAATATTTTATCATCCCATCAATAAAAGTATTTGAAATTAGATGTTTAAGAAGAAGAAATAATATTTTATTATATTTAATAAATTAAAATAAAAAATCTCTTAAACATGAATGTAATATTTTTATAGAGATTTTTTAATCTTCGACTTATTTTAGAAGTTTTTTATAAAGAATTTACTGAACAAGGCTGGTCGAGATATATTAATTATATTGTTTAGGATCGTAATTTTGGAAAATAAAGCTTAAAACGTAGGGAGTGGAATTTGCGATCAAAAAAAGAAGAAAAAGGAAGGATTGTGTTTCAACTCTTCTACAATGAGTATGGAGGACTAAAGAGTTGGTGGGCCAGTTTATTGTTTATTCTAGAGAGAGAAAGTTAGAAATAGATAAAGAATTTGAGGGGCTAGGCGGGAGAGAGAGAGAGAGAGAGAGAGAGAGATAGAAAATGGGGAGAGCGTTTGTGTACGTGATACTTGGTGGAGGCGTCGCCGCTGGTTATGCAGCTCTTGAATTCACCAAGAAAGGTGTCTCTCATGGTGAACTCTGCATCATCTCCGAAGAACCTGTAATTTTTCATCCTCGTTATTATCTAATTTCTTACTTAACAACTGTGTCAACTTCAATCTATTGTTTTCCATTTTCGTTTTGGAAATTCGTTGATTGATCATCGCGTTTTGTCGAATTTTTGATCGTTGATGTTCGGTTTACTCTTTTGCACGCCAAGTGTTTGTTGTAAGTTTCACGAGCGTGTGTTTGAAGAACCATGAATCATTTGACTATTTGCTTTATTTTGGGAACTTTAGTTTGCTCATCTAATTGCAATTTTTCTAAAAAATTCTACTAGAGTTATCTATTGAATTGGTTTGGTTATGGGTTTCTAATAACTAGTGGATAGATGGAGTGACTTTCCGTTCTGGAACTTGAGAATTGAGATGCGTATGCCATGGTTATTGCAAAATCAAATGATGGATGGAGCAAAATTCAACTCAATCCTAGGCACTCGTAAATTTATTGATTACAGTTAAGGTGAAGATATTGGCTATAATGGTTGCACTTGAACCTGCAACAAACCAGTGATTTTTGGTGAAAGCTCTGCATAGGGTGTATTATGTTTGAAAGATAAATCCACATAATCATAATCATATTCTATTATATTCTTTTTAGTTTTATACTCTTATTGTACATTGCTTTGCATATATAAGGTTCTAATATGAATCGTATGATTGACTTTCCTTGCTTGAAGTCTTGGCATGCTTTTTGCCTTAGATTCAAAAGGTGGAAATTTTGCAGAAGAACAAGCTTATTAATGAAGTCTAGAGTGGGCCAAGCTTCCCTCACATATGTACCTCCACATTTTTAGTTTTGACTATTAGCAGTACTGTGTGGTCTATTCTTGGAAATTATATTCTAACACACACGTACCTGAGAGCTAGCTTAGATCTGATTATAATTCCATTAAAGGCACCAAAATGCCTTATTTTTGTAATTTAGATTTAAACTGAAGTTTTATTAAAGTTGTCGATCCTCAATGTCTGGTTCAATAATCAATGCATTTTGGAAAACATTATAAAGTTGTGAAATAGGCCCAACCCGGGTTTGAGATGTCACTGTTAGCCTGTTCTTCACATTCAACAGTGCTATTTATTTGGATCCTATCATCAACTAGTCCGTAAGGCAGGTATTGCATGTATGCTGATTCGTTGTTCATTACAATGACTATATTAGCACCAAACCATAAAACTCATATGTGACATATATTGGTGTTATAATATTAATGTATGATAAAAGAATCACATGTTATCCATGTAATGGTATTGATTTTTCTCGATACACATCTTTATTATGTGCAGGTGGCTCCTTATGAGAGACCTGCACTAAGCAAAGGCTTTCTACTGCCAGAAGGTATCCACTTGCTAACGGATTCAGTATTTAATGTTGTATATTAGTTTCCTTTATTTCAGAAAGTATCCATTTGCTAACAGATGCATTCATGGTTTTTGCACATTCGAGAATTATTAAAACATGCTCCTTTTTGTAGCATTGTTCTTGTAGTCTTCTGAACCATCTGTTCCAGTAACTTGGTGCTGTACTGCTGTAATGATCACATACACTAACGAAGAACACCACTATGATCCTCTGTCCTAAAAGAAGTGGAAAACACACATGAAATTGATCAACCTACAAATGTGAATCTAGAAGATTAATCGCATCATGACATTCATGTACTGAATAGTAAGATACACTAAGTTTTCTATATGAAACTAGATTCACCCATCATCTTTTATCAAATAGAGTAAAATCATAATATCCATGTTATGGCATTTAGATTTTGAAAATTGTGTTTGTTCTAGTCTTATTTTTTGTGAAGTTTAGAAAACAATTCGTATTATACTTTCAAGCCATTTAATCACAGGTTGCGTGATAGTCTCATCAGTTTCTTCTGTCTGACTCTGTTATGTTTTATACTTGTTCTCCACAGCTCCTGCACGCCTCCCTGCATTTCACACTTGTGTTGGTGCCAACGAAGAGAGGTTAACACCAAAGTGGTACAAGGAACATGGTAAATGTTATTCATGCTATCATGGATCATCTATTGACTTTGGGTGATCATGAGCAAATTGAGGATTGTTTTCTGTTATGAAAGTTCGTTATATATGGCTGTTTTGCATGGTTAAATCTTTCTTTCTTGAATTGACAATACTTGCTCTTGTAGTATGCTTGATTAATGAGTACCATTATAATATTGTCAAATGTTATAGACTCACCTGATAATAAAAGCATAATACATAAAATTCATTATCCTAAAGAATGACAAGAAAATTATGAACCTGATGTCACAAACTTAAAATAAGCATGCTGAAACAACCATGTCAAATTGATGGCATCACCCTTGTTCATGAGCTTAATATCATACAAGATTGTAATCTTTCATCGCCTAGTTAACAGTGAAATTCAGTCAAAAAGCAAAATTGAGAACCACTGCATGAGATGTATTTAGTGGATGCACACAGACCACTTTTGGATCAAGTTTTGACATCAAGCATTACTGATCACCATGGCACCCTTTAAATTCAAGAAGATATGGAAATTAGTGGCCATCTTTTGTAAGGTTGATGTTTATTCTGTTGCTTTCTATATATTTGTTTCCATCACTAATAATTAGAAGTCAATGCTTGTGTACTGAACCACAATGGGATTTCCTCTTAGTTTGTTGCTCATATTTTTTGTTCCAATTTTTTTCAGGAATTGAACTGATTCTGGGTACTCGGGTAAAGTCTGCTGATGTGAGACGTAAGACACTACTGACTGCAGCAGGGGAAACCATCAGCTACAAATTTCTAATCATTGCAACAGGTGCCCGGGTACTGAAACTGGTTCTCAAACAATATGATGCTTGATTTTAACTTCATTGGGGTTCTATGCATATAGTGATGCATTTCTAAACCTTACACAAAGCAAAAATAAAAATGCAAAATAGAAAAAGAACTTTAAAAAGAACAGCTCGATAAGTGACTAGTGTTCTTATGTTGGTCGTCGCCATGACTGTATCAACCATAATTATCAGGATTGTAATACATTTCTATTCTCAAATTTTGACGATGAATATCATAGGTAGGTCAAGGGGCCTCTTTATCTTTCGGTGATGCAAGTCACTTTTTGTTTCTGATTGTGAGTTATCTATCCACCATGGCATCATTGCCATTCATAACCACACAATACTCTTCTCTAAGGTTTCCTGTTCAGAGACATAATTCACTTTTAGTTTTTGGTTCAGAGTTCTCTGTCTACCACATCAATCACTGCCATAAGTAACCAAACAATATTCTTGCCAATAGAGCCTTAAGTGATGTTTCTTTTTGCTATAGTTTCTTTCTGCCCCACGTGCATTATTTCTTTTCTGCTATAGTTTCTTCCTTTTTGCTATAGTTTCTTGCAGCATCTATCAGACTGTGTTTAATGTGTTGTTCTTTTCCTGAGTATGCAATGCGTCAAGAAAGATGGATAAGAATCTATATTATGAAGGTTTTCTTAACTAAGATCCGGGATAGAAGCCCAAAATCTGGATTGTATAGATTCTAATAATGTCTTGTAGGTAATGTAAAGAATGTCTTCATAAGAAAGGTGGTGTGGGTCATTTCTTCTCCTCAGATACATGTTTTTCACCTCTAATTTAGGCAAGGAAGATTTACCGCTTTATTTCCTGAATAATCTGTATGGCTTTATTATAGGCTTTGAAGCTTGAAGAGTTTGGTGTGAGTGGATCAGATGCTGAAAATGTATGTTATCTACGCGATTTGGCTGATGCAACCAGGCTTGTCGACGTGATGCAAACCTCCACGGGTGGAAATGCGGTAGTTATTGGTGGTGGTTACGTTGGAATGGAGTGTGCTGCTTCGTTGGTGATAAATAAGATAAATGTTTCAATGGTGTTCCCTGAGGCACATTGCAGTAAGCCCTTTTAATTTCAAACCTAGCTATAGCTACTTTCATATATGTTCCACTGTTGCTTAGACTTCCTATTGGAATTATGTGTATATGTTATTTCCGTCTATTTTACAGTGGGCCGTTTGTTCACCCCCAAGATTGCGAGTCATTATGAAGAATTTTATAAATCCAAGGGTGTAAATTTTGTCAAAGGCACAGTTCTGTCATCATTTGCTTTCAACCCTGAGGGGAAGGTAAATTTTAGCTTATTTTGCTCGGTGATCTCAATCCTCCTAGGATATGATGAACATGCTGATTCGATTTGACTGTGGGACTGATTATATACAGGTTAGTGGAGTTTATCTCAAGGATGGAAGCTACCTTCCTGCCGATTTGGTGGTGGTAGGAATTGGAATCCGTCCCAACACGAGTCTGTTTGAAGGCCAACTGACTTTAGAGAAGGGAGGGATTAAAGTAAACGGGCGGTTGCAATCCAGCAATAGTTCAGTGTATGCAGTTGGAGACGTTGCATCATTTCCCGTCAAGATTTTCGGTGAAATCCGAAGACTCGAGCATGTCGACGCCGCCAGGAAATCAGCTCGGCATGCCGTCTCTGCAATACTGGAACCCGAGAAAACACCAGAATTCGACTACTTGCCGTTCTTCTACTCGAGGGTCTTCTCATTGTCGTGGCAGTTTTATGGAGACAACGTAGGTGAAGCCGTTTATTTTGGAGATTTCTCGGGGACTAGTTTTGGTGCTTATTGGGTGAACAAGGGTCATCTAGTTGGGTCTTTTCTGGAAGGTGGAAGTAAAGAAGAGTACGAGGCGATAGCCAAGGTGACGAGGCTCAAACCGGTGATCGAGGATTTGAGCGAGCTAGAGCGGCAGGGTTTGGGGTTCGTGGTGGCATTGAGCCAGAAACCGGGTGTATCTGAAGCAGCAAAAGATATGGATGTGGGTGGGTCGAGCCTTGTTTTAGAGAAAGCAATGTACCCATGGCATGCAGCAGCTGGGGTTGTGGTGGCGGCATCGATTGCTGCATTTGCTTATTGGTATGGAAGGAGACGCCGTAGATGGTGAGAATAGAATTAATTCCATTTATTATTCCACTATTTGAGATATTTATACCCATACCATACCTATAACTTATATTATACCCTTGTTGTGCAATTTTATTAGGATAAAATATACAATGTTCTATTCTATAACCATGCTTTCACGAAAAATGGGAAAAAACAAACCCTATAATTGTTTCTCATATGTCTAATATTTGAAGACTAACTTGAAATCACTGTGAACTGAATATGAATTCGAGTCTTGTTGGAAGTTGATCCGATTGTTAACTTTAATGCATATAAGATTTGCCCTACACCTACACAAATTCCTAAAAAGGTCGAGTATTATCGTATTTTAACAAAGTAATCATCTTTAAACAAACAAATAATGAATTGCTATGACAAAATCGATTTATTAAAAACACAAGTTTTAACGCTTGTTAATAAGTAAAAGTATGGGAATGTGATAGTATTATATTATTGAAAAGCATTTAGTGAACCTACACATATTGTTTTTTATATCATATATTCTTCATTTCATTTGGATTCGCCCTCTATTTGGTATCAAAAGTTGAAAGAATTAACATATTTAGGGTTCAGGGTTTAGTAGTATGATTCTTGCTTTAGATAAAAGTCATTGGTTTTGTCGAAGTAATTAAAATTTATTCAAAATGATATAGAATTTGAATCCTATACTAAGGGGATGTTTACTAACTTCTGACTAGGCTGACTCGGTCAGCAGTCAGTGTGTTTACCAAATCACGGATCTGACCAAGATCCGACCGAGATCTTACCCAGTTAACGTCAAATTTATGCTTACCCAAGTCAAATCCTTGCTTTCCATACTTGCTTCTTTTCTCGATAAGGTTTAACCCGCTCCCTCATCGCTCCTCCTCCTCCCTCATCTTGTGGGGAGATGCATTTGTGAGGCTGTAATATTTAAACATGAATAGATAATTTGATTATATATTTAAAACAACCAATATGTAACAACATGAGCTAAATGAAATACTCATACTTGCCAACAACTACTTCCTCCTTGCTAAATCAGGAGGGAAAGGAAGCACTACTGTGTTTTAGAAGAGGAAGTATATCAAAAGTATAGTGCTAATGGCAGTTACTTAACATTTCAAGAACATTTGTGTGAACAATTACTTTAGAAGATACCTCAATTTGACATTTTTTTACCACATAAATTTAAAATATTCAACCAGTTTCATAAATAGATTTAACATCTAATTTCTTCTGTCAAATATATTAATGGTATTATTTTTATTAGTAAGCTTTTATTTAAAGCATGCATTTTGTTTATTTATTTATTTATTAAAATTAATAACAAAATAATTACATATTATTCACCATATAATTACAAATATGGATAATGGTCATTTTATTGTTGGTAAACACTTACCAAAAACATATGATAAACATTCTTACCCGGGACAGTACTTACTCGGATCAGCACTCTTACCCGGATAGCACTTATCTGATAAGAGTTGGTAAACGATCCCCTAATTTATTAAAAAAATATATCAACAAACAAAAATTTGAAGTTTTTTCCGGATCTTCCAAAAACCAGAGTCTTTGTAAATTGCAATAAGAACTATATCTGTAACCATTTCGAAATTGGAGTACACTTTTAGCAATCAGTCCAAAGATGAGGGGTGTTTTAAGTAATTTACTGAAAATGAGATCGTCGCCTCCCGACAGTTTATCTGGAAATCAACCAAACCTCTCAATTCTCTTATCCTATCTCTCCCTCCTTCCTTCCCTTCCCCTCTCCTCTCCTTCTGCAGTCTGCTCTAATGGCGTCTTCTACTCTCTCCACAGTCACCCTACGCTCCTTCTCTTATCCTCCACACCACGCCAACACTCAACCTGCAACTCTCTCGCTCTTTTTCCCCAAACAAACCCTAGAATTCTCCCTCCGAACCCCCAAACTTTCCCATCGATCCACATTTCTCCGCCCCGTTGCCGCCGTTGCCGAAGAGAAGGTGGTGCAGCTAGGTGATGATATCTCCAACCTAACCCTTGGAGAGGCACAGAAACTCGTTGAGTACCTACAAGAGAAGCTTGGGGTCACCGCTGCATCCTTCGCTCCTGCTGCCGTCGTCGCAGCACCTGGAGGCGCTGGAGCGGAAGCGCCTGCGGCCGTGGAGGAGAAGACGGAGTTCGATGTCGTGATTGATGAGGTTCCTAGTAACGCCAGGATTGCCACGATTAAAGCCGTTAGAGCTTTGACTAGTCTGGCGCTTAAGGAGGCCAAGGAGCTCATTGAAGGACTTCCGAAGAAATTCAAGGAAGGAGTATCGAAAGACGAAGCTGAAGATGCGAAGAAACAACTTGAAGAAGCTGGCGCCAAAATTTCAATTGTTTAGATCACGAATTTGTGGTAAACTTTTCCTTTTTGATATTTGCCTAATGCAATGTGTTATTAGTTCTTCAGTTTTGTAGTTGAATTTAATCATTTTACGAATTCATGCCATAATTTACTCTCGATACTCTGCTCGTTTCCTTGTCAAATCTGATGATGTTGCTAGTTTGCTACTTGTGTTAAATTATTCATCCGAAGTTGTACTAGATGTTCTTACAGCTCTCTGTTTCTATCAAATTGAATCAGAACACATATTGTGCTCTTTTAAGTTCTTTCCAGTGTGCAAGTTTTTTCAATCTGTCTCACTTGAAAACTTTGGCGTCCAAGTGGCCATAGACCTGTTACTTACCTTCAAAACTACAAATCTTAGTCCTAAGAAACTAAGTGGACGAGAATACATTCTTGTTCATGCATCTTCTACAATCTACATCAAGCAATCGGCAAGATTAGGGAAACGATTCTAGATCTATCTTTGCGTGTTTATGCATTTTGTAGGAAATTGCACTTTTTTAAGTTCATAAGAATGCATTATTTGAAAAGTCTTCTTGCAACTCATTCTCACTGCAACAATGTTAAGGTCATTACCGCACGGTCCTTTCAAGAATCTCATTTCATTTAAACAATCAAACAAAATAAACACAAATTGACCTAGAGTTGGAAAATAACGAAGAACACTACTTGCTGATGACAAATAGTAGTCCTGGTTTGGAGAATCTCCGATACTAGGGATGAACATATTAACCTGGAGTTTCTTCAGTCTTAGGGGGAAGTGGCTTAATGGGTTGTATAGCTGTATGGCTTATTCGTAAGCCATACCAAAGTGTTCAGTTATGGCTTAGTCAATAAGAAGATGACTTTTTCGCTCAGCCCAAAAACTTGTGTCCTCTCCAGTAAGCCATGAATTTCCATCTCATACCCTTTTCTCAAATAGAACTCTTCCTTCCTCACCTACCATGAAATCGATCCTCTTCCCTCTTACTTGCCTTTTCTGATATCGATCTGCTCTCTTGTTCTCTCTAGAATCAACCTTTCTTCCTCTCACTCTCTCCTCTTTGATCTGCCTAAAATCAACTGTTTCCTTTTGATCTCTCTTCCCTTTCTGGACTCACTTTTCTGTTCCTGAAATCAGGCCGTCTGCCATCAGTGGATAGGGATGGAGGTTGAGGGAGATGGGTATTTGGTTTATTGGAAGAAGTTACTAGCAGGCTCTATAAATAGGATCGGTATATTGATGGTTTTTGGTTTTGGTTTTGGTTTTTCTTACTAGTTATTTATTTATTTATTTATTATCATAATTTTGGGTATTGGATGATGCGAAAAGGACTGGGTTCTGGTTTTTTACTGGGCTTTTTATGGTTTCGGGTATTGGATTGTGTGGAGAAGAAACCACAGAAAGACTTAGGGGCCGTTTACCAAACGCTACCGGCAAGAGTCACCACTCTCGTTTACTTTATGGAGTAATATTCTCAACCATTAAAATGGATTGATGGTAAGCGTTTACAATCCGGTAAGCACTTACCAGGTAAGAGTCATCACCCTCACTTACACTGTAGACCTATCAATCCTTGTCTTGGCTCTTACCGAGTAAATTTCTCGGTTCTTATTATGTTCATCCATTAAGGTAATTGAATCGATAACCGCTTACCAAGGTAAGTGTTTAGTAAATGGCTCCTTATAAACTTCGTTTTCCATTTCATCATTCACTCTTTCACCACTAATCACACCAAGTTTTTTTTTATCGAAATCGGAGAACAATCATATCGTCTTCTAATTAGGTATCAATAAATGGGGTTTTTGAATAGACTTCACTGATTGAGTTGTTTACAGACGAGAGAACCAGTGTTGGATTACAGAAGAGGAGAATAGAAGAGCTCAAAAGCAAGCTTCAATGACAATTGGTTCAGTGGTTCAAAAGTATGGTGAATCAACTAGTTTTTGAATTGATAGTGATTTGGTTGAATCAAACAATATGAAATCAAACTTGCTTTTAGAAATTGATGAATATTGTTGAAAGAAACTCTTGAATAAGGGTAAAATGGTCATTTTTGTCTTTCAAACAGTTTATTTATTTAGTATAAGAAACAGTTCGGTTTATCTATTTGAAAAACTTAATCCAATCGGACAGCCCCTTATGGATTGAATATAATATAACTAACTAAATTACCAAAATAAAAATATTAATTCATAATTATCAGCATAAAAAAATAAAAAATCAATTTACTTTAAAAAACAGAGCATGGTTTGCAATAATTGTTAACTAACTTGGAACCAAACTTAATAAAATATGAAATTTATTTTTCTTCTTTATTTACGATTTGAATGTTTGTTCAAAATGAAAAAAGAAACCTACGAGGCACTTCGTACTTTTGTATGGGGCAACCACAACCACCGCGGTGGCCGTCCTTTGTAAATCCGGTAGGGCTCGTGCTCATCTCGATCATCTTCTTTGCAAAAACCCGCTTTTCCAAAATCAAATACTGTTACATGGAACCTACAAAGAAGTTGGAAGAGTTTCTTATCATTAGTGGAGTTTTCTTTCAAGTTCGTATTTTAGTGTCAATCAAAATGAGATTGGGAGTTTTTTCAAAAATCACTCCATTATGGATGCTGACAAGAGTTTCTTACTATAAGAGCTGTGACAAGTACCGCTAGCCTTATCTGGTAAGTGAGAGTAACGACTCCTACTTGGTAAGCACTTAACGGATAAATTGTCGCATATGATGCCGTGTTAATGGACTAAAATCTTACATGGTAAATTAAGTTAAATTGTTAAACTCTTACCGGTAAGCGCTTAACCGGGTAAGCGTCGGATAAACGGCCTATAACCCTTTGGATAATAATGTCAATGAAATGGGGTTAGCATGGCATAAATATGAGGGAATATAGCATCAGATTTGCTAGTTGCATATCAGTCAAATTACAATCAATTGAGTTGTATGTTAGAACTGGTAGAAGCAGATTAAGCTGTAACACTATTAGATAGTTTGCTGATCTTGTCTTGATTGGTCTTGAATTACCAATTAGATCATGTCAAGTAAAAATATTATAATGTGCTTACACATGGTTGCATCAACTTGTTCTTTTGTTGTTGTTGAACTTCCTTTTTCCTTTCTGTTCTTCAGTGGAAGCCAGACATTGGTACCAAAGGCATGGAGGACGCGTGGAAGAGAACAAAACTTGTTGTCCTACGTTTGGCGTCACATTAGACTCGGACAAGACAAAACCTGAATGGGACAAAAATATGGGAGATGTGATTGGTAAATTACTAATCTACCCATGTCAAATTTAAACCCTAAAACCTTGCACAATTTTTTCACATACCTACCTCATTCGCGCTCGTCGAGTTCCATGTCGTCTGCATACCAATCGCACTCCTAGGTGTTGTTTGGTCCACCGAATTCAAAGGAATTGAAACAATCCTTTGACCAAATTCCAATTTCTTTGTTTGGTTCACATATTGAAATGGATAGAATCCTTTGAATTTCATAAAGTAAAGAATTGATCATTCATCGGCATAAGTGAAGGAATCGGATTCCATCACTGCCCATCCCTTGCCCCCGCCACTACCGTGCTACTAGTGTTCCCATCAAGCCCCACCCCTAACCCCCTACCGCCACCCATCCCCGTTACCCACCCCACATCCCTGGTACGACCATGCTACTACTGTCAACGTCACCCCCAAACTAACCCCCCCCCAAACCACACCACTACAGTCGCTGCCACAACCGCTCCTTACCCCATCCTCCCCACTTCCGCCCCGCACCCCTGCCCCACCCCTACCAGCAGGGCGGGGCGGTAGCTGTGATGATGAAAGTCATGGCATGGTGGTTGGTATGGGTGGAGTGGGGAGGGTCGGAACAAAGATGAAGATTCTAATTCTTTTGAGTGGTTTTATTCTAATTCCTTCCAATTCGAACAAATTCCATTATATGAACCAAACTTCCCCTCGGTCTCTTACAGTCAACTGAGGTTTATGCAAATCTAAAACTCATCTGGGAGTTTAAAACCAGCTTGTTTCTTGGTGATTCTGATAAACAAAATTGCTCATATCTTGTTGACCATGTTCATATATAACTAAACATTTACATTGTCAACAGTGTGGTCTGTATATGATACCAATGCAAAAATTCACTTATAAAATTGGCATTGAATAAAATGCTCTCAAGTCTCCATGCCACCATGTATTTGAAGACAAGTGTCCGCGAAGCAGGTGCAAGTACAATGTTGAGCTCTTATGTGCAGCTGTTGATCCTTCATATCTTTTTGACCTCTGAACTAATAACAGCAAACATCCTCTACAGACAAAAGGTCAGTAAAAGCAAACTTTAATTACATACATATACTTTGTGTTCTTGAAAAATGGTTCTCAGGATGAATATGTGTTCTTGTGATGTAAAAGAATATTGGGATTTCTTCACAGATTATGACCCTGTTGTTACCAATGGTTTCTTCAATTGGGATGAATGGCATTCATAACATCAATGTATGGTAATGAGATGAATCAAATCCTAATGAAAAATGATGATATTGATGCATGTTTGAATTGAAAATTTGTCGTATCCTACATTTTCTTTTCTACTACCCAAGTGATTGAATTCCATTGAAAGAAACCCTACCAAAACCCAGATTATCAACTCTATACAACTCTAACCAAACCTTCTCAGCTTCAAATCTTGCACTGTATTTATTATGGCTTCCTTCTTCTGATTCTCCTCCTCCAATGGCGGTTGCTTTTCCCAATGCCCCATCTTCTTCTTGCTCGTTTCTTGAAACGCCAACATCTTTCAACTTCTTCTTCTTCCTCTTCTTCTTGTTATTGGCCAAGCATTTTCTTCCCATCATCCATGGCAGCTTAAGGAACGTAAGTGTGAAGAAGTTGACGACGGCACATGGGCAGCAACATACCGCCACACAATCGGCAATCGCCCTGGCCGAGCAAGATCGGCATGACTTCCCGGAACATTCCGCTCCTCCGCCTTCTTCCGCCACGCCGCTTCTTTTGGTGATTCCGGTGGCCGTGGGTGGGCAGGTTTCTAATTGACGTTGACGACCACGACGACCCATTATCTGAAATAATGTTGATTTCTTGATTACTGGGGATCAAAACCTAAAAAGAAGAAACGAGTGAAGGGATTATGAGTTTCTGTGTTGGGATTATGGGAAGGTTTGATGGTGTGGAAGAGGGTTTTATGCAAAAACCTTTTTTTTTTAATTTTTTAATTTTTTAATTTTAATTTTAATTTGGGCATGCATTCTTGGATTTTCCAAAGGCGTAGTGAAGTCCAAGTGATTTAATGACGTGCTTGAAATGGTATATACCGCAAATGGAAGAGAGATAAAGTATTCGCTTTTTTTAAATAAAAATATTGATTCACCACATGTAATTAACTACTTACTGTGGTTACTCAATGTGATTAAATAAATTAACATTATTGCTTCATTTTATATATTTATTCATTTCTTTTTTATTTTTTTATTTCTACATTTTATAGGTCTTGAATTATAAAGCTTTGGATGGTTTTGAAATAGTAAAATTAGAGCATTATCAGTTCTTGTAAAAAACTTAGTTTTTTTTACAAGAATTAATATTGTGGATAGTTTTTATAAAAATCTCTTCATTTTTTAGTTTTTTTTTATAAGAATCTTGGTTCTTACTTTGAAATTCATATGAAATATGATAAATTGTTAAAAAAAAATTTATATTTTCTTGACTTTTAGATCCAATATAATAATTAATATGTATTTATTCATTTAACTCATACGACCTATAAAATGGATTCTTTATTAAAAACTACCATCGTGTAGTTTTATATAGATCATCAATTTGATAAGTTGGAAATGAATTGATAAGAAAAACTATAACAAATGGTTATTGTAAGAACCATACATGTATAAATTTAACATATAGGTGGAGGTTTGAACGATAACACCTCCACTTTACGAGTACGCGGGAACACCCGTATCATATATGAGAGAACTTGGTGGTGTGTAGATGACGAGCCATGCGACTTAGGTCGCGTCAAAGGTCGCCTGCATCTATGATTTAATTTCACATGTGATGAATTATAGTATCATATAAGTATCACATTTTATCACATATGATGATACATATAAAGGAGTTTAGTGGTCTAAGGTCGACATAACCTACAACCATGATCACACGAATAGTTATCCATACATCTGATTTGGCATCACATTTGTATCATATGTGATTAAATATAGTATTAACATGTGATCTTTAATAGTAAAAAAAACGTTCTTGCATTCTCTTGAAATGAAACTATTCTTGTTTAAACTCATCCCTTAACATATAATTTTATAAAGAATACCAACTCTTTTTTTAATATATATATATATATATATATATATATATATATATATATGGGCCTATTCAAGGGAGAACTGAGTTGTTTGTGGTAACTGTGAGAACCAATATTAACCACAAATCAATAGATAAATT